ATTTGAGCTGTCTAATTAGTGGTTGCGGGGGACGACGTAAGCAAACCAGCCCTTTTGGCGTTTCGGCTGGGACCGTATGCTGAATGTTGGGGAGGGGATGGGGTCCCCAACGGTCGACGGTTTACTTCAACTCGGTTGGTACGATAGGAGAGTACTGACGCAAGTGGTGCAGCTGGTCCAGCAGCTCCGCCAGAAGGGCTGGTTTGCTCACCCCAGGACTAAGCCTTGGAGAGGGGGACCCGTCCTCTCTTTAAGGCTTAGTTCTGAGGTAAGCACCAAATTGTGGCGGTTCTAAGGACCGAGTTGAAGTGGTCCGTCCACCGTCGGGGACTCCATCCCCTCCCCAACATTCAGCATACGGTCCCAGCCGAAGCGCCAAAAGGGCTGGTTTGCTTACGTCCCTCCCGACTAGGCGCAGCTACCTGTGGCGAGACGCGCCGTACATGTCCATAACGGTGCAAAAGATAGGCGGAAGGGAGGAAGGTGATTTTAATATAAAATGTGATTATTCATTCATTATTACTACTTTTCAATCTTCTGACTCCTGTGAACAAATCAAAGTAAAATTGATGTCCATATTTATTATTATTACTCTTACTATTATTATTATTACCATTGTTATAATTATTCATTATTATTATGCTTAGTAGTCTTCAACTCCTTATCACGAGTGACCCGCTTAGCCAATTAGTGTTTAGGTAGTCAAGGAAATCTTCACACCTCTCATATGCGTCGTGATTGCGGGGTACAGGGGATTCTACAGGGCTGGGACTTCTGTGAGAAGAAATGGCAAAGTTCGATAGTTCCTAAATTAATCTCCTTTTGGACACACATGGCTTTTTACAGATTCGACGAAGTTTACCAGGAACCCACCCCGATCAAATTGCTTCGTATTGTAGAAGAATGTCCAGATACATAACTAAGAAGTCTATATAGTTGCTTGTGAGATTTACACATATTTTGGATATTTTTTGTGTTCGCTCACTGATTTTCCTAACCAAGCTAGAACGTATTCTGGCTAATAATGATAATGAATAATAATAACAATGATAATAGTAAGCAGTAATAGTAGTAATAGTAATAATATTAAATATGGACATCAATTTTATTTTGGTTTGCTCACAGGAGTCAGAAGATTGAAAAGTAGTAATAATGAATGAATAATCACATTTTATCTAAATCACCTTTTTCCTTTCCGAAATCGCTATTCGCCAATCTTTTGCACCGTTATGGACATGTACGGCGCGTCTCGCCCACAGGTAGCTGGCGCCTAGTCGCGAGGCAGCACTAATTAGGTGCCAAAATTTGAGGTCACTTCGCACCTCGTCGCGACGCAGCACTAATTAGGTGCTGAAATTTCCAATCGTACCACTTGAGACACACCCGGTACCCACTTCTTTTGAGGCTGGAATTCCGCTGTGGCGAGGTATTAGGGTTCAAGCGTCTACAGATGGTACCAGGTCAACAGTGATATCATATTTTCAGTACTCATTACTACACATTGCACCACCATGCTCCACTCCACCGGCTGTGCGAGAATGTCGTGAGCTGACCGACGAAAAGGGCTGGGTTGACGTGGATCCTAAAACATTAAGAGTAAGTCATGAGTTCAAAATTCTATTTCTTATCTTCCATTCGGTCTGTTTCTAAAGATTCATACTTGAAAGCGTTGTTTACAAAAATGCTGGGTAATTCACAAGAATTTGGGGCTATAGACAAAACTTTACTCGCAGGAATGGATGGTCACGAATCAAAAGCGAAAGGTGCGGATTGATTCCTAGCAGTGGTGAAGTACCATTCCGAGCAGAATGTATGTGGGTCCGCATAGAAGGTTGTATTGGAAGTCCCGTTTCTCCTGCCGGATCTTTTGCGCGATTGTATCATAGTAAAGTAATGTTCCTTCAGGAAGAATCACGTGAATGTGTGATATTATGGGTTCAGCGCACATCAAACGAAGGTCCAAAGAGAACTAAAGCGAAAAATTTGCTCAAAGGGTATTTAGGAACTTTCTCACGGTCTTAATATTCTTGTCGACCAATCACACTTATTTCCACATTTTTCGGTATTTTCACATTTTTTGCAATAGTCCTCGTCCAAGCAAGTGAGAAATGGTTCAACCGCTGCGAGGAGGATTTTTTACGGATCATCGGGTTTTCCTGAAAAAAAAATCTGAGCGATTCGTTCGACACAAATTCAGGCCTTCAATGAACCTACTATATGTACAAGTATACTGTATACTGTATGTTCTACTACAAAGTTGTTCCTTTCAGTCGAAACACTTCCCTAATGTGTTCGCCGCGGGTGATTGCATGAACACGGGCAATGCGAAGACGGCCGCGGCAGTTTCCAGCCATCTGAAGACAGTTGAAAAGAATTTGACCGCGGTGTTGGAAGGGCGAGAGCCACCAGCAAAAGTGAGTTGACCAGCAGGAGTGTTGAAGTAGTGATCGGCTCCAACAACCCGATTCTTTCAGTATGACGGCTATTGTTCTTGTCCGTTGGTCATTAGTAAGGACAGAGGCTATCCTTGCTGAATTCAATGCTGATGGACAACGAATGGAGACCACTCCTCTTGATCAGAGCGTTCCCAGGTGAGTTTCATTGGACGTCAAAGTCGCTTTCTCGAGGCAGAGAGCGCTTACTGTGTGAGCCGAACCGCCCATGATTCCTATTGGTGCGCTCTGCCACGAGTCCACCAATAGGAGCGTGAGCGCATCGGACAGCCCCGCCCACACCCACACAGTGATCTCTGTTTCCAAGAACTCCACCTGGAAGGTCTTTCAAAACGTCGTTATTCAAGGCGCCATCCATGGTTCATGAAACGTTATCTGATGCCATTCCTCTATTGGGGATTTCTCGTCAAAGGACGATGGAATGGGCCGGCTTTCGTTCGAAAGCTCCTGCATTTGGGATTCGTGCCAAAGTCCAAGTGATTTCAAGATTTCTATTAAGAGCTTTGTATGAATAAAAACTTAATTTATTCTTTTTATTTGGTCAGGTCTGCTCAGTTCAGACATGGTTACTTTTTTGAGCGTTGTTGGATTGTTGTTTTGTTGATTGATGTTTGATTGCAACGTTGAATTTTTCAACACCTATATTTATCATACCGTGGTGCGCCATCATAGGGGTGAACACAATGGCCGGAGGGCGGAGCGATTTTGGTGACCACCTGTTGAGCATGACTGGTGGAGCGGCGTTAACAGGCGGGCCCAAGCGCACTGACAAGAGAGGTCTTTCAGGGGAACGGTCAACAGAATCGTCCGGTCGTCGCGCCGCCGTGTGCGCCACTTGCGCGGCGTCGCGACGCGGCACTTTTCCGAAGAGCGCGGGATTTTTGAATTTGACGGTTGGAGCAGTTGATTGAAGTTGAATATCAAAGGGACGGGCCTGCTTGGGTCCATTCAAATTCAAATGACGCTCACAGAAACTCGTCCACTGCAGTTGCGACGTCGCGGCCACGACAGCGCGGGGATCCGGACGATTCTGTTGACACACACCGGTCTTTCAGGGCGAGCCGCGCATTTCAAACGGTTTTTGCATGCTGTAGGGCTCTCGCGTGGACTACAATACTGTGTTTCATTTTCGCTGAACGGCCCCTGAAGGCCAAAAAAATGGTCGAAAAAATTTCTTGAGAATGGGCGGTTTTTACAGCTTGGAGTGACGTTTCGGACTTGTACAGAAGATCACCTGCATATTGAAGGGTGCTGATAAAGATGGTATCGAAAACAAGGTGAAATTCGCCAAAAATTGACACTGTCAGTGGTAGTGCTGGAAAAAGTGGGAGGTTTCATAAGCATCGTCGGCATTCGTCGGAGTGGTCTGGTGGTCAAGTGGGTAGTGTTTCGCACTCGGCGGAAGGGATTTTTGGTTTGCCCTTCCAATTGAGCGCCAAATTGCTTCAGCGTCAAATTTAACGCTATATTCTCAATCAGGACCATCAGCAGCCCCTGCAAATGGGTTTACTATCAAAAACTGGCAGAATAATCCACAGCGCCAAATGGCGCCGACGCCAAGAAATAACGCCATATCCGTGATCAGCACCCCGATTACCCCTATAGGCAAAATTTCGACGAAATCGAGATTTTGAC